ACACACACACACACACACACACACACACGCACGCACACACGCGCGTGCGCGCTCTGCCCCTTACCTGGCTGGAAACCTCGTATTCCACATGCTTTAGGAAGAGGCCCTTCTTCTCGGGAATGAGCTCCACCTGCACGGTGTCCCTGGCCAGCAACTCCTGCAGGGTGTACGAAAGCAGCAGCGGGTTCCCCTGCGGCATCTGCATTCGACTGGGGTGTGGGTCCCTCCACTCGCTGACCTGGGGCGCTGGCAAGTCTGGAGGGGACAAGGCGACCGGCCAATAAAAACGGCTGCTCGGAAGCAGAGGCTGCCACGGCGGGCCTGCCCCCGCCGCGTGCTAGCTTCGCACGTGGACCGTGGCCACATCACCCCCGTTCATTCAGGCCGCGGAGCTTGTGCCCCGAAAAGTCCCCACGCCATGAGGCGTCCACCCGCTCGTGAATCAGCAGACACACCCCCCTTTCCAGGACCAGTCAGATCTAGTTTTCAACCTGGGAATAGAAGAAAGTGAACTATTCACAAGTTACGTGCAAAAGAGCCCTCCTTTTCTCTAGAATTGAAAAGGTTAAAACTAAGAGCCGTAGAATTTCTCTCTCCCACTGTTTCCACAGTGAACACGCATGACGTCACGTGCCAAAGCAATGATTCCAATTCCACGTAGGTAAAAACCCACATCTTGCTTAGAGCCATGGTTCCTGATCACACAAGTCAAAGAATTAGGCCCTCAAACCTCAGCTTCCTTACACATCACTCACAAGGCAGCAAAACACAGGTCCGAGAGATTACAGGCTAAAAAACACAGAAGTCACAGGAAAAAGTCAGTTTGGCTTTTAGTACAGAGTTTGAAAGAAAAAGAGTTCTTTTCGGTTAAAACCTGTAATAGGGGCTCCTGGGAGGCTCAGTTGGTGGAGTGTCCGACTCAGTTTCGGCTCAGGTTATGATCCCAGGGTCATGGGATCAAGCCCTACATCAGGCTCTGTGCTGAGTGTGGAGTCTACTTGAGATTCTCTCTCCCTCTCCCTGCCCTCCCCTGCCCAAGCACGCATGCTCTCGTGCTCCCTCAAGACAAATGTCAAAATATATGTATACGTACATACGCTACATACATAATAAAGGTATCCCATAGCGGGAGAGGGGGTCAGAGTCTGATCAACATTGCTATTGCTATAAATAACCACAACAAAGTGTACATTTTTTTCTTTTTCAAAATTTTCTACAACGTGGTTATTTCGCTTTTTTATGATTTACTTCTTAAAATAACACTTTAAGATTCTGGTTTACATTCTAAACAGAAGTAATGGCCAGATTACTTTCACCTCTGAAATTACTCAGCATTTTAGAATTTAAAACGTAGCTGCTTTTAATTGACCTTAAAGCTTAAGAAAAAAAATAAACTAAGGCCTTAATGCTTACTTGGGAACCCCAAGGGCCTCATAAAAAGTCCACACGAAAACTAAATTATTATGTGCTCTACAAGCAGTAAGCTCCCAAGTGAGGGCACATATCCTAGGGTCAAAACAATCCACCAGGGCGCAAGAAGAAAATATTAATAATTCTATTTGCATTTTGTTCCCTTCTTTTCAAACTTATATTCTTGTGATATCATAACACATGTAACATAATATTAGAGTAGTGCGTGCATGCAACTTACTAAAACATGTGTGTATAGATATGTGTGCATATATTTGCACGCGTATTACATGTGCAAATGTGTATGTGTACGAGTGGGTGAATATATGTACACGAGTATATGTGTATACAAGTGTGTGTGTACATGTGTATAAATGTGTGTGCAAGTGTGTGTATATACCTGAGTGTGTGTGTGTAAGAGTATATATGTACGTGGGTATGTATGTGTGTGAACTTGAGTGTGTGTGAGTTTATGTGTATATGGGGGGGTACGTACATGTGTGTGTACGTGTGTATACACTACTGTGTATATGTGTACATGGGTATGTATGTGTATCAATGCACATGTGCACGAGTGTGTAGATGGGGGGATGTACATGTGTTCAAGTGTATGGGAGAGTGTCTGTATATAAGCATGTGAGTGTGTGTGTACATGGGTGTGTATGTATGTGAACATTAGTGTGTATGAGTATATACGTACATGAGTCTGTATGTGTATCAATGCACATGTACATGAGTATGTGTGTGTATACACAGGGGTGTACATGTGTACAGGTGTGTATTTGCAAGTGTGTGTATAAAAGTGTGAGTAGTGAGCGCGTGCACGACCATATACGTACATGGTGTACGTATATTGCATGAATGTGTGTACATGTGTATATATGTGTATGAGGTATGTGTACATCAAGAGTCCCCAATATCTTAATGGCCAAAATGTGGAGACCACAGCTTCAGACAGTACCTGTTCTCCCATCCTAAAACCCAGCCCCTTTCCATGTGAAACTATTCTGGTGGCCTTAGAACTGCGCTGACCCAGTCTCCAGGGACCACACATACCCTGGGTCAACGAGACAGCACGTGTGTCTCAAGTACTCACTCAAGTGAGTGACGAACAACACAGAGACACTGGGCTCAGCAGTACCCATTCAGCTCGTGGCTACCAAGTGTTCCCACTGCCGGGCACAATCTATGAGGATCCAAACTCCAGGGCGAACTGGAATACACCGTGACTTAACTTTAATAGCACCCAGGTAATGAGCCAGGGGGCCCAGACACAGCACCAGGACACGAACTCGGGGGACACAGACGCCCTCAGCTTTGCTCTGGATGCATGCTGGCTGTGGGGGAGCCTGGCACTTAGAAGGGCACTGAAGGAAAGCTGGCTGAATGACTATTTACTGATATGTACTACACTTTCACGAGTGAAAGGTAGCATGTCTGGGGGGAAAACAAAGTCTTAGGTAACTAGAGCACAGAATATGTGGAAAAACAGGAAACAATCAAGTTAAAAGGTAATGGAGAAAGAACATTTTTATCAGAGAAAAGATGTGCAAATCATGTATCTGAGAAGGTAATGGTATCTGAAATATACAAAGAACTCTTACAACGCACTAGAAAAAAAAAGAGAGAGACAGAGAGAGAAATAACCCAATTTTAAAATGGGCAAAGCATTTGCATACACATCCCTCCAAAGATATACCAGTGGCCAGTAAGCACATAAAAAGATTCTCAACACCATTAACCGGCACGGAAATGCAAATCACAGCCACAGTGAGATACCACCCACTGTGACGGCTCTAATTAAAAAAGAAAAAAAAAAGACCAGTGAGCATTGGCAAGGGTGCAGAAAAGTCTCGCTCATGCTGGCAGAGGCTTACGCGAGGCAAAAACAGTCGGCCACTTCCTCGGTGTCAGAGGCAGAGCCGCTATATGACCCAGCAGCTCCCCTCCTGGAAATACACCCAAGCCAGATGAAAACGTGTGCCCACACAGAGACCTGGAGACAAATGCCCACAGCAGCACCAGGCGTGAGAGCCAAGGAGCGGAGAACCCCAAGCACCCATCAACGGTGAGGGGATAAATAAAAGTGGTTCATCCATACAACAGACTCCTTCCGCCGTGGAAAGGAATGAAGAACAGGTTCACACTACAAGATGGGTAAACCTTGAAAACCTCAGGGGAAGTGAACTAATCCATGCAGGGGATGAGTCCGTCCACAGGAAATCTCCAGAAGAGGCAAACCTACAGAAACAAAGCAAACGGATGCCTGCCTGGAGCTGGGGGCAGGGGGGGCAACGCCTGGAGAAATGAGCAGTGACTACTGGAAAATGGGGGGTTTCTCGGGGAGACGATAAAATGCTCCAGAGGTGATCATGGCGATGGGTGCACGACCCCGTGAACACACCAACGACGCTGTATTGTACACCTTAAATGAGTGAATTGTATGGCAGGTAATGACAATTCTACACGCCTTAAATATAAAAGGCAACATCAGTAAATGGAAGAGTCCTCTCTTCTACAGAAGCAAAAATGGTCAGAACCAGCTCTTTGAGGACACTGGGAATTGAAGGTCTGTGGCAATCCCGGGCACATTTATTGATGCAATAATTAGCGAAATTGAGGTTATACTGGAGTAGGGAGGCCCTTCCTCCAGTATGGCTGCAGTTGTCATAAGAAAAGGGAAGACCACACAAAGACCCAGAGGCACCCGACACGCGGGGGTGGGCACATGGCAACGGAGGCAGAGACCAAAGGGACACGGCCAGAGACCAAGAACACCTTGGCAGCTTCAACCACATGCTGGGAGAGGCAGGAAGGATCCTCCCCTACAGGGTTCAGAGGGAGTGCAGCCCTGCCCATGCCTGGATCTCAGACGTGGGGCCTCCAGGGCTGGGAGGCAACACGTTCCTGTTGTTTCAAGCCACCCCATATGTGCTGCTTTGTTAGAGCAGCCACACACAACTCACACGAGAAACTTTAGAGAATTCGTTCTGAGAGGTCATTAAATAAATCTACAATGGTCGGCAGCAACACCTTGGGGAAGGAGGAAAACGTGATTTCCCCAGAGCTGTCACGTTATATTATTTAAACTGTCAGGTTCACAACTGAAGTTTACAAGACACGCAAAGAAGTAAGACAGTACAGCCAAACACAGGGAAAAACCACCACCAGAAACTGTCCAAGAAAGGCCAGGCATTGAACTCATTCGACAGAACTGAAGGAGGGGCGCCTGGGTGGCTCAGTCGGTTGAGCGTCCGACTTTAGGAGAGCCTGGATCCTGCTTCAGATTCTGTGTCTCCCTCTCTCTCTGCCCCTCCCCTGCTCATGCTCTGTCTCTCAAAAATAAATAAAAACACTAAAAATAATAATAAAATAAAGAACTAATGCAGAGGAGAGCAGTCCCAGCAATAGAAAATATGGATAAACAGACCAAAATTGTACAAGAGGAGCAGGAAAAGATTCTGGAGTCAAGGAGCTCAACAAACAAAATGGAAAATTCACAAGCAAGGTTCAATAGCAGATCTGAGTGGGCAGAGGGAAGAATCAGCAAACCTGAAGACAGGTCAACTGAGACTGTCCGGTGTGGAGGACAGAAAGAAAACAGAATGAAGAAGAACGAACAGCCCCTCAGCAACCTGTACCAACATCACCGACTGCACCAACAACAAAACCGACTGTACCAACACCACCGGCTGTACCATCATCATCAACATGAGCGGCCCAGGAGAGAGGATCGGGAAGAATAGGCGAATGAACTGCCAAATTTTTCCCAAATTTGATTTTTAAAATCCAGGAACCCAAAAAAACCCACCCAAGATAAAGTCAGGGAGATTCAGAACTAGACAGGTCACAACTCCGTGGTTCAAACTGCACCATTCTGTGTCCAGAGACCAAGAGAAACTCTTGAAAGCACCAGGAGATCAGCAACCGGGCAAGACGAACAGCTCACTTCTCAGAAGCCACGGAGGCCGCAAGGCAGTGCGATGGCACATGCAAAGTGCCAGAAGACAGAACAGTCAACCGAGAATTCTACAACCAGCAAAACTATCCTTGCAAACCAAAGGAGAAAATAAGACACCCCAGATGACTAAAAGCAGCCAATTCACTTCTGCACTAGCAGTCGTGTTGTTCCTTCCGAGAGACAAATCCACGTGTGGAAAGAAAGAACACCAGTAAAGGTAACTGCACTGGTAAATACGAAAGGCAGTAGAAACTTATCCGTAAGTTTTTCTGGGTGACTTAAAAGACAACGTATGAGGCAGTCATCATAAATCTGTTTTGAGGAGCGTACAGTTTATATGGAAACAATCTGCACAGCTGATAACAGAATGGGGAGAGGAAGGGAGCTGTAAGGGAGCAAGATTTCTACACGCCACTGAAATTAAACTTGTACTAATCCAAGCAAGATTGTTACACATTAACATGTTGACGTGTACTCCCAGGGCAATCACTAAGAAAATAACAGGAATAATATAGTAACCGAAACAAGGGAATTTAAACCGTACACTAGAAAATACCTATTTGATGTAAAACAAGGTAATAACGGAAGAACAGAGGAAAGATAAAAGTAATGAGGGAAAGAAAATTTGGGAAGCACCAAGCATGTACTGATTTTGTTCTCTTCCTGATGGGTCAAGTAAGCTAATATAAGACATATTAGCTCAGTAATGATTACCAAAGGACCACAGGCTGCTGAAGAACCTGAACTCTGACCACAAGAGAATCTAAAAGTCAGAACCCAGGGGCGCCTGGGGGGCTCAGTCAGTTGAGTGTCCAACTCTTGATTTCAGCTCAGGTCATGATCCCAGGTTGTGGGATCAAGCCCTACATCAGGTTCCAAGCTGAATATGGCGCCTGCTTGACATTCTGTCTCTCTTTCTCCCCCACTCATGCTCGCACTCTTTGAAAGAAATACACACACACACACACACACACACACTTAAAAATCAGAACCCAAAAGGTACATTTTATTGTTACTTTTGTTAACGGGGTCACCATGTTGTCCGAGCTGCTAT